GAGAAATAAAATGGAAGTATATAACAACCAGGCCATAAACAGTCCCAAGATAATTGCGACCCTGGCTGTTGCCTGTCTTGTTGCTCTGCTGTTTCTCTGGTGTAGTCTTGACCACATTTCAAGGATGACAGGTTCCGTCCTATCCCAGGGGAACACAGGGGCACATCCTCTGGGACCCACAGCCTTTTCGTTACACAAATCTTTTCCACCGCCACCCGCGTATCACCGATCAAAACTCACATGATCACACCTGACTCTGAGGGAAGCTGAGACATTCAGTCTTCCAGGGGCACCTGTCCAAACGGAAGTCAGGGCTACGAGTACTCAAAAGGAAATGGGGCATCTGCCACAACGCCACCCCTGCTGCTGCTCTTTATCCTTGCTTGTGTTCTTAGGACCCGATGTCCCCCTTGCCCTGTCTGATCATCCTAGCCTTCTCGCTGCTGTCGAGCACAGCTCCATGTTGATTCAGGGTGCTAGTACTGCCCAAGTCACAGTCTGCCCTGGTTCCCCATGACCCAGGAAAGTGATTCTCAAACCTAACGTGCACCAGAAGTCAGCTGAAGGGAAAGTTTTCTTATTTTTCCCCCATAGCATTTCTCTACATTGTCCATGCTGTCCTGAAACTCCTGGGTTTGGGCTTGGGGCTCCAGCAGTCTTCCTGCCCCAGGGAGCTGTTCAGAAGCCCTGGGGCCCGAGGACCAACGTGTTTGCACATTGCCCAGTAGGGTGGTACTGCTGGTCCAGGCACCACACTTTGTCTCTGTTCCTGCACCTACCATCCAAAGCCTCTCCCCCTCTGCTAGCCTAGTCTCAACCTACTTTCCAGCATCTTCTCTTGGCCTCCCCTCCTTTCCGCACACCGGCACTCTCACCTCTAAGCAGGCCAGCTTTTCACACCTCCATCCTTGCTGTTCCTTTCTCTGGAGTGTCATCTGCCTGGCAATTCCCTCTCCACGTCCTCCCTGAGCCCCCTGGTTCCTGGAAGCCGCTATGCAGCCCCTGTGCCCGACCCCTGCACACCGTACATTCCTGTCACAGTCCTACCTCCTGCATTCTGCCTGTCCAGTCTCGGATCTCAGGAGACTCGCCTCCATACCTCTTAGCCTTGGCAGTAGCATCACTGAGGAAGGGAACAGAAGTATGAGCGAGGAAATGGAGATGAACTGATGTAGGTGCTGGGAGGGTGAAGAAATATAGGAGGAGTTAGCATGGAAGCCAGTGAGGTCCACTGAGGCCTGAGCCCCAAGCCAGGCCAAGAACATACTCCTGATCACCATTTCATAACCAGGCCAGATCCCTAGAGTGAGCAGCATGAATGGGGTGGGGATCCCTTCCGGGTAGGGTAGGGCATCACCTCCTGGCTCTCAGCCCCCTGATGTTTCTCAAAGGCTGTCATAAGGCATTCAGGCCTCTGCGTGGCCGATTCCTTCTAGGATCAAGATAGCAAAGCTTTTCCCCAGAACTAGTGATAAGAGGTCAGGATGGAGCCAGGTGTGGTGGTGCAAGCCTGTAATTCCAGCACTTGGAAGGCTGAGGCAGGAGGATTGCAGTGAGTTTGAAGCCAGTTTGGGCTACATAATGAGTTCAAGGCCAGCCTGAACTCCATAGTCAAGCCCTGTCTCTAAAATGCAAAAGAGGGGGAAGAAGTCAGGGTGGTTGCAAAGTAGGACTGGAGACTTGTGGTAGCAAGGGACTCATTTCCTCCCATATACCTGAGTTCCTACAACTGGAAATCAAGTTCCTCCAAAAACCTGCTTTTGCTCCAGCAGACATAGATATAGCCTGAGAACACTGGGCCAGTAACCTCTGGGAGGCTCTATGTATAGCCTGCAAATACTACTCACCTTGCAGGCAGCTCATGACATTGAACAGGACATGTTACTCCCGCTGCGGTGGTTCATACCTGTACTCTGGGAGGACAAGGCTGCAAGACTACAAGTGTGAGCCCAGAATGGGCAAATCAGCGAGATCTTGTCTCAAAATAAAAAATATATAAGTGCAGGGGATGTAGCTCAGTGCAAAGGCTGTACAAATTCCCAGCACGGGAGGGAGGGGGAAGATGTAGGTAGTGGGCCCTGAACCCAGAGGCTGAAACAGGGAATAACTAGAGTTCTCAGGATTGATTCTGCAAAGTTCAGTAACTGGTTTTCTAGCATTCTTCCTTCTATTTTTGACATCTTTCCTCTTCTTGTTTACGATTCTACCCAGCTCTGGGACCTCAGCTCTCATTCTGCCTCCTCCACCAAGCCATCTTCCTTCCTGGAGCTCTCTCTGTGACGCCTACCATCCTTATGGTCTGGCCTGGTAAACAGGGGTATGAGTGGTTAGTCAGGAACAGGTCTGCACTCAGGGCTGCACTGGTACCATCACTCCTTCAAGGTAGGGTGCATTGTTACTGTAGCCTATGGTGGGATTGGATCCCCTGAATTATATCAGAAGGGCCTCTGCCTCCGGGCCAAATGGCCTGACTCAACTATATAACTGTTTGACCAAACAAGGTATGAAATTTCTTTAGACTCAGTTTCTTCATTTGTGAATAAGATGAAGATTAGACAGTTGAGCAAGTTTAGAATGGTACCTGGAGCTGGGCATGGTGGCACGCACCAGTAATCCCAGTACTCTGGGAGGCTGGGGCAGGAGGATTGAAAGTTGGAGCCCAGTCTAGCCAACTAGTGACTTAGTGAAACATTGTTTCAGAAGAAAAAGAAAAAAATTTAAAAGGGCTGGCACTGTACCTCAGTGTAAAGGTGGCCTTGGCTTGGTTCAATCTCTAGCAGCCCTGCCCTACCTGGCCTTGCTCCATTCTGTTTCTTACTCTGATACTCGCTAACCTTTACCGAACATTTTATTTCGTTGTCATTGTAACTGCTGGTTCTCACTGTTTTCTGCAAAGGCTTTGAGCAACCTGGAGATGATGTATCACTGAAAAACTAGAACAGTTTGACCCTGAACCTAGTGGGAGGCTGGGTGTTATGCTGCCTCCTTGATGAGGACCTTATTCTTCCTTTAGTCTTTTTTTAGTCACAAATGACCAAACTCCAGGGCAAAATAGCTTAGCCAGTGGTGGTGAACTTATGGCATATGTGTAGTTTTTCTTTAAGACAAAAATTATTAATGTGTGAGTAGTTAACTTCAGTATTCAGGTTTTGTTACAGTTTGGCACTCTGTGATAAATAACTGCATTTTGGGTTGCAGTTTGGACACTCGGTTTCTACCAGGTTTGCCATCACTGGCTTAGGCAAAAAGAATTTGAGGCTGAAATTACTGGGAAACCCAATGGAGGACCCAATGGCTTCAAGGCAAGCTGGATCAGGCCCCCATGTCCATCAGCAAGATGTCTCTGAGCTGGTGTTATTTTCAGGTACATTTTCCTACATGACAGGGAAACAAGTCACTGAGTGGTATAAATTTATGGTCTATTCCTTAAATCATTTTTAAAATTTTATTTATTTATTTATTTATTTTGGTATCAGGATCAAACTCAGGTCCTTGTTCTTTCAAGACAGAGAGTGGAACCATAGAGTTAAATTCCTGGCTGCAAAGCATTTCTTAGAAAGGCCTTTGAACTAGGTTTGGTGGTGCATGGCTGTAATCCCAGCACTCAGCAAGCTGAGGCAGGAGGATCACCATGAGTTTCAGGACAGCCTGAACTATGTAGTGAGAACTTGCCTCAAAACAAAAATCAAACAAAGACCTTTGAGCAGTGCAAGTGGGATCAAATGGCCATTCCCTAGACCAATCATTGTGGTGAGAGGGACGGGGTGCTGTGATTGGCCAAGATGGGGTTGTGTTCACCCCAGTTTGATAATCTCCCTTCTTTGTGGCTCCTAAGTCACTACCTCAGAGAAACTTTTCCTTTCTACCAACATGGACCTCAATTTCCCACAGAGTAGCACATTGTTCTTGCCTTCTGACTAGTCCAGGAAGAACTCAAGGCAGCATGGGACATACTTATTACCCGTGTCCTTCAGGCCCAGCTTCCTGCCCAGGCTATGGGATAATGTTGGTGGTTTATCCAGCACATGCTTGTATCTTGCTAGTCCACCCACCTCCTCACTGCCATGGACTGGGGGCAGCAGAGTCTGCTCTGACTAGTTTAAACCCATCAGTCATTCCTTGCCACAGGGATTGTTTCTAGGGCTGCCTTGTGTGACCTAGTTTGGGCACTGAGGCAGAAGGCCATCCAGGAAAGGGCTTCTTGCTCTTGGTGGAAGCCAGTTGGCTCCTGCCCTCTCAAGTACCAGGCATAAATGAGGAGATCTCAACTGCTACTGCCTGCCACACCAGGCTGGAGGGGAGCCCACCTTAACAGGAAGCTCACACTGTGGAGACATGTAAAGAACCTGGTCCTGGCAGATAATCCCTGGGATTACACAATTAGGAAGACTGAGGCAAGAGGCAAGTTCAAGCCTAGCCTGGGAAATTCAGCAATACCCTGCTTCAAATAAAAGATAAAAGACACACTGAGGATGTAGTTTAGAATGAAGGTGCTCGGTTCAATTCCCAGTACCATGAGAAAAAAAAGAATGTGGTCCCTTGATGGCTCTGTTATTTAGCTGGCCAATTCTGCTCCAGGAATACCAAGCCCCTGCCAGCATGTCTCTGGGATGTTCTGTGATATAGCCACAAGTAGCCTGAGAGGAGCTCAGAGAGGGCCCTGCAGGAATGGCATAGGTGCATGAACACAGCCCGTAAGCCACTACCCTACCTCCTGAATCTCTCACATGCACCAACTACTGGAGTTTCTTCGTACCCCATAAGAAATAAAAAACTCTGGATTTTTTTTTTTTTTTTTTC